GGTTAACCTTTACTGCTTGCTAGCCTGTGAAGTTGGGGCAATTTGACTTAAGATCAAATGATGGGTTAGCCATCATCACCTGATTATCAGGTTTCTCACCTGATAGAATTAAATTGGGAAAGTGAAAGAATGGTGAGCTGTGGAATGATTTTGAAGGACAGGGGATGACAGAGTGAGCTTTTACACGAAGTCGGCTTGTCACATATTATCTATCGCCCTTTTGCTACGAACCCACACAGTAACCCAGTTTGTTGGATGACAGTCTTCAGTGAGATTTAGAAGAAAGTGGTAGTCAGAAGACTTGGGATTCAAAACCAAAACTATCTTTTCTAACACTGGTCAAGCCACTATCTAATTTAAGCCTGTTTATTCATCAATCAAATGGATATAGAGCAATCAGGTTTGTCAAGCTCACAGAATTTTTGAGAGGATCAAATGAAGCAACATATGCAAAATAAGCTTTAAAATATATTAAACATTTTAAGTTTAAACAAGCGTTGCCTATGTGGGAGAAACAGTTGGATACTAGTAATAAAAAGAAGCACTTGCAATTGTAATCTAGAAAAGAAAGCAAACGTAAGGCAAATATCAACACAAGGATCAGTTGCTATAATAAATATGTGTAAAACATGCTGGTAGTACAGCAGAAGAAGCAAGTCATCCTTTTGTAAGCATTTGTAGAGTAAGAAAAGTTGTAAAAGGGGGAATATAGGAGAAAATATGTGAAAAGAGGTGTTATTTGAATTGGACCTTGATGGGTAAATTCTGTATGTGTTCAGTGGAATGAAAAAGCATTTCAGACAGACAAGGGCCTAAGCAAAAACCGTGGTATGAAAATAATATATTTGGGGAAGGCCAAAAAATTCAGCATAGCTAGAACATAAGGTTCATGGAAGTGACTAGAAAGGCAATTGAGCCAGGTTATCTGGAGTTTACATTAACAGTTGTATAATTGTTAAGAGAAAAATTAATCAATACGTAAGAAACATAAAGCCCTGTGCCTTACTGGTGCCTAGCCATTCCACTTTATCCAGGACTGTATAGTTTTCAGGCATGTGGGACTTCGAGTCCCACAAAACTGGAATGGAAACTACAAAGTCCAGAAAACTGGAACAAGGTGGTCGCCATACTTAACAAAAATAATTCACAGAAAATTGAGCACAATATTCCATATCTCTGAAATCACCTGTAATTCATTTTGATGAATTACGAGGAAAGCCTCATTCAATATCTTTAGATTCCCTAATGTAGTTCTGTCAGATTTTTGGCACATGTGCCGGTGTTCATCTTCATGTTTACTTAATTAGAACCATGGATGCCAGAGTTGTGAATATGAAAAGAGAGACTATCAAGAACACAAAGTGAGCCACTACTATCTTGAGCCCCTAAAAAGACTTGTGAGTTCAAGACTAATTCTCTACAACCCTACTTTTTTTAAGATAAAATATGAAACCATATTTACTTAGCTATCCGTATTTTAAGCCAAAAATATACCAAAACATGTACCTTGTTATTGTAACAAGGATTACAAAGTGATAAAGCATTTATTTTGTGATCTTCTCAGATACTACACAGCAGTGATATGGAAATAATATTGTATGTGACTAGTGGGCACTGGAAATGTGGCCAGTATGGCAATTTAGAACTAAATTCTAAATTGTGATTGTGTTAACGTTTATATAGCCACACATGGCTAGTGGCGACTATGTGTTGGTCATCACAGTTACATAAGAACCTTTTCATACTCTCTTAGTTCAGCTGGAAATAATGAAAACATTTTGTGAGCATTTTTTGGTCTCAGTTGTTACAGGCTCCAAATTAGAATACTTGCTGATATTTCCTCATGAAAATAAATGTTTCAGCTGCTTAAATTAAGCCAAAGTACTGTTTCTGCTTTTGCTAAAACAGTGGTCAACTTCAAAACCCTAAGTGAAGTAGGTAAGAAATAAACATTTCCTAATTCCAATTGAAATTGAGACTTAATGATTTATTCACAACATTGATTAATAAAACAGTGATTTCCCACTAGTGTTTTTCACTTTCTTTCAATTTTACAGTGATGAAACAAGTCAGGGAGCTATGTTCATAGATGTTTCTTTCTTATAATTGTTAATTTAATCTTTAAAATTGATACAGGACAGGTGGCTCCCCAGCCAGCTCACTGGAGCTGAGGGGCAGACCTGGCCACCTCCACCCTGGCTGTACCAGACGGCAGGCGAACCAGCGGGCTGAAGGGTAGGCAAGAGGAGGACCCTTGTCTGACGCTCCAGTAGCCAGAGAGGTCAAACAGCTACCATACTGGGGAGATAACTGCACCTTAGTGTCTCCTTCTGCTTTCACTTAAATGGCTGAACAGGGAACCCCCCATTTCCCATGCCTGGGTCAATTTCATGTTAATTTCCTAGGCCTCAATTCCATGAATGGACACAGTCCATTCATTAATACATTCATTCATCTTGCCCCAGTGGAAGGGACTGCATCCACTCATTAATGCCCTCATTCACCTTGCCCCAGCGGAAAGGACTGTATCCATGTATTTGTTACCTATACTTTTCTTCACAGTACTTAACACAATTTGTAATGCACTGACACCCATGCAAATAAATATATAATACCTCTTACCTTCTAGGGCTTTAATTCAAAGCTTTCTGTTTTTTGTTTTTGTTTTAATCCAACATCTACCGTAGTCTCTGGCAAAGTGAGCCTTAACACTCGGGTTTTTTTAAATAGTCAAATAAGTAAATACTTTGTAAATTTGACTTACACGAACAGCTGAGAGGCAACAGTGGGGTTCCAAAGCACTTCACGGTTTTGTGGGAAGCCACTCTACCTCCCTTCTTCCTACTCCCACCCACTATCCCCTTAAATCCTGACTCATCATTGTGGTATTCCCACAGCAGCAGGAAGTAGTAGTGTTCAGTTAGCTGATTCATCATGACTCCAACAGGATTCCAACTTACGCCACCTTTTCAGCTGCCAGTCATCATTCCACAGCAGCCTTAGATGCCCCTTCATTAGTAACCAGAGGGTTCTTTAAAATCACGGCATACTGTGATCAACAAGAGTTTTCTTCATCAAGCTATTTTCCATACTTTGAAATAGTAATAGTTACTATCAGCAACCAGAAGTTCACACAAAAACGATGAATTTACTGTTTGGGTCATGTAATACTTGTACCACACCACCATCTGAGGTATGGCCTGCCTTGCGATGTTGCAGACTGAGCTTCACTTCTTGGCCACAGTAGATTTTAAGTGAAAAATATATTAAAAGGTCCCAAGTCATGAAGGGCAAAAGAAAAAAAACTGACATTTATTGAGTACATATATTGCGCCAGATGCCTTACAAATACATACTCTCATTCAATCCTCACAACAACCCTGTGAGGTAGGAATTACCTCCATTTAACCCATAAAGAAATCACCTTTCTGGCAATTTGGATTGTCTCTTAAATTTTTCTATTAACATTAATCTCCAATTATTTACTTTAATCTTCTCTATAGTAGAGATTTTGGTACCTGTATACCAGAAAAACCTATTTCCACTCAATAAATATTAAGTTAATGAGGTAAGTGTCACAGTACATAAGTGCATGATTGAAAATTAGAAGCTACCATCCTTCTGCATCAGATTATGTTCTCTGGCCCATGTTAAAAATCATTTGAGTGTGTAAGCCTTCTTGCTTGGTTTCACATTTCCAGTTTGCACACACATACACGCATGTGTGCACACACAGATTTTTGTTGTTGATCTAACTGACTCTCTAGAATTCGTCTTCTTAGTCTAATAGGGATTGGGAAGCTAGCCTGATGAACAATATATTTTAAATGTTTTTAATCATGAAATGACTCCTCCAGCTTCTAATTAAAAGTAGTACCAAGCAAACTTTACCTGTCTCATAATTAACCCTCTTTCCCTCATCTGTATCCAAGGGGAAATGCAGAACTTTTCCTCCATAGTTCTCCCCTAACTCTACATGTAGGTACCAGGACTGAAGAACTTTATGTTCTACCTTCTCTTTGAAGCAGGTCTTGGTCCATACCTATAATCCTGAGCAAGTAGAACCTTGAATTCTCTCTCTCTTCAACACCTTTCTTGGATTTCTATTCCCTCCTTTCATCCTAAATTATCTGAACCTTTAATAGATGAAAACATGGCTAGGCTAGGATGTGAGAGACCAGTGTATTTATACCAAGCCCCAACAAACACTGCAGATTTCTAAAACCTCCTTTGCAATGACACTGTTCACCACTTCTATCCAGGGTCTCTAGGAATGGGACAGCAGAAATGAGATGGACAGTGTTTCTCATCTCAAGGTGTATGGTCATTTGAGATTTCTAGAGTAAAGGAACATCCAGGATCTATGTCCCCTTTCTGTCTTTATGTCCCACTAGAAAGTCCATTATTTGTCCTTGATTCCAAGTACATAATCACCCCTAAGTTTTTCTTGCCTGGGGGTCTTCAGAGGACGCTGTAGTTGTAGGAAAGGCTCTCTGCTTGGATGCCAGCTACAGCTGCATACAATTCAGGAACCACCAACTCTGGTACTTGCAACACAGCCTTGTCATCTGCAGTTCGAGAGGCGGCTTCTAGACGCAAGTGTAGCTCTCGAGGGGAGGGGCGGCTGTCCTCACTCCAGCGCCAACAGCACTTCATAATACTATACCTGAGGGGAACAAGAAAGACTGACCTCGTTGGCAATCAAATATGGGGGAACATATCTCCTCTCGCAAAAAAAAATCTTTAAAAAATCCCGTAATTCTTCATCTTCCATTTGCTTTGTTTCTCATATTCTTCCCAGAGACTGATATTCTTTTCATCCTCTTTACATTGAGTCTCTTAATAGCATCATCTCAATAGATACTATTCTATGATAGAAATGACTCAAAATTTTTTGAACTACAGAGTATGACGGGACAGTTTTTTCACTATATTTGTTCTATTGTGCACTGTAAACACTGAACAGTCAAGGAACAGAACTAAGACTAAACACACTTGTCTTTCTTACTCTACAACTTGAGATGGACATTTTTAATCATTCTATATTGTGCATACTTTAGGTTGATTTTCATGTTGTTTCAGATATATCCTCATCAAATTGTTAAGTTCTTTTAGGTGAGGTACTTTGTCAGTGAAGTGCCTCCCCCAGTATCAAGGACAGCCTTTAACACTTAGAGATGTTTGTCAACAATTGCATTCTGCTATTTCTAGCCACATTACTAAACTGAGTGTGCATGTCTGTATACACATACACAGTTAAAATATTTAAACTTCATAATCTGCTTAATACAATAACTACTCATTGTAGGGAAAACCAAGTACTTGTAATTTACCAATCCAATGCTGAAAAAATTAAAATAGCAGCAGTTCTAAGAACTGCAATGTACTCTTTACTGCCTTCTTAAACATAATTTAACTTCTTCTTATATTCCAGAACAGCTCCTTTTTGAATTTCATTGGTAATAAAATTCTGTATTTCATTTTTTAATTTTCTGCTTTCAGGTTAGTCCACGGTCTCTTTCTGCTGATAAAATTGGGTCCTTCTGCCTTTCTTACCCATCATCTTCTGATTGAATTCTGTCATACTGAGAACTGGGAAAACTGGGAGTCAGTAATTTTTAAAAGTTAAACATCAAATATGAAACTGGTATACTCTGAACAAGTAATTCAAATATAGTGAATGAATTTTATTACAGTTGTTCCTGAACTGAGGCTGGTAGAAGACTGACAATTAGACAAAACACAACTGTGCTTCCATTGCATGTGGTGTACATCCTACCTGTTTTAGAAGCTTCCTGTGGAACTGCCCTTTATCAGAATTATATTCCTAATAGAGTGCTCGGGAGTTGCCTCAACATTGTGGGGGGGGGGCAGGGTCTGTGTGTGTGTCTATATCCTATAAGATGTGTTTTACTGCATAATGTTTAAAGCTTATACATTAACACACTAGGACTGCTGAGTATCATCCGGACCACTTTGAAAAAGGGATGATTAATAGGGAGCAAAAAGATTTGGAATGAGGGAAGAATAGGCTTTTAAGGACACTTACATGGTGTGTGTGCAGCTACTAGGTCTCTTCATGATTTTTCTTCTCTGTAGATGCTGTAGGATGCTGGTAGGAGGGACTTCAGGATACGGTGGTGCCCCTGTCATTTATGGAAAGAATGAGAGTAGCCCACGAACTTTAGAGTCCTCCAAATATGAACAGTAACTAACACTATTCCCTATCCATTTGAGCTAATTGCCTGCAAAAGGTATAACCACAGGGAAAATGCTCTGTACAGCACAAATGCTCCCTGGTGATCAAGTAAGGATATCGCTTAGTAAATCTGGGGGAAAGGTATTTGGGGGCAAAACTGATCAGTTAGGAGAATTATGAGTCTTGAGGAAAGCAATAAAATAAGACAAAGTAAGAAATAAGACCCATCCTCCACTCCTAACAGCATGGAAAGGTGCTGTAGTTTCTCAATGAAATGGATTAATACATCTGAAGAAAGCATGTTTACGCAAGATCACTCTGGATCTTTGGAATTTGAAAACATCCTTTGGAATTGGTAATGTTTGCAGAAATGAAAGGAGGAAGAGAGGGGGAAAAAAAGGACAGAGAAGGAGGGAGCAGGATAGCTAAGGAAACACCACTTGACAGGACTATCTCAAAATCAGGCTCGGATTTCATGTTAGCCCAGTTCAAACTTCAGAGTGGAACTGAAACCTTTTCTCAAAGCATGTGTCATCTACCACCTAAATAAACACTGCTACGTACAGATGCACACTACTTTAGGGCTCATCCTTACCTAGAGTCACCATCTCATAGAGCAGAATCCCAAAGGACCAGCTGTAAAAGAAACAAAGCCATCTTCTTAACTTCTATTCTTGCCTATTATAAAGAGAGCTCGTTTAAATCAGAAGCCTTTAGTAAGAACTCCATAAGGAAGGCAGTGAAGGAGAATTAAAGGTGAGGGTTTGTTAAGTAAAACAAACGTGCCATTAGAAAGCATTTCTGTCTAATTTCCATAGGTCCTAATCTCTTTGAGGACTCAGTTTGTGTCTCTTTTCTTCTGTATTTCAAATTAATAAATGCTCACTATTATCAGCATATGTATGTGTGTGCAAGTGGGTGAGCACACACACATACATTTACCTAAACATAAAGAAATGTTTCCCTCTGCATCTTTTTATCCTTTCCATCCCTCTCTGCTGAAATTCCAGCTTTTATCTGTTGCACAAGACCAAGTGAGTTGTTATCATTTATCCACTATTTTCTCACTAGGTCTACTTGCTCAAACCTTATAAAAAGACTAACAGAGGAAGCTTTTTACATAGTTGGAAAAAGTATTTGCCCAAGTAATATGCCTCAAGAGATGTATATTTTAATATTCTATAATATCATTATTAAATGAACAATATTTTACAGTTTATTATCTCCAGATCTCTACCGAAAAGCGTATGTCAGGGGAGCAGCGTTGGAAATCTCATAAGTGACTTATCATATTAACTGATGTTCTATATTTCCTCTCCGGCACATGACTAGTAGGATTCATGGCTGGGAGGATATTCTGCATTCTTCCATATGCTTCCCAAGCAGTGGAGTTATATGGCCACCCAAAGTCAATTGTGTTTACTATCTTGTTTATGCCAATTTTACATGTCACTGTACTTATGTGTAATTTCATAGTCAATTATATGTAAACTAAATATAAATGGAAAGAAGTGTTGTCTCCCTGCAAACTAAGTCGAATGCTTTGAAAATAGTCCATAAACATACATTGTTGAAAAGAAAGTGTTGTTAAATTGTGTGGGTGACACAACTATAAGAAACTGGGAAAAACAAAAACCTGAAGCCAAACTATTTCTCAATTATTTGCAGGCTTTTCATTCTAAATCCCAAACTGGAAAAGAGTAAGCCATTATGGATGCTGTTTCTACGAAAAACGCAACATATAACTTCATTAAGGAGACCCGTCTTCATAAGTCTTCATAAAAAGAAGTCTTGCCTCTCCTTCAAACAATTGATAAATGTACATTTATATGTTTTAACTTAAATTATTGCCAGTATTTATTTTATTTTAATAATACTTGTTTAATTGGCCTTTTAATTAGGTAGACCCACCGCCTTCAGATAAAAGAGACTCTACTAGATTACGTCCTCATAGATGAATGTGAATAATCTTTCCGTTTTCCTATTTCTTTCCTAATTAAGGCTGCTGATTTAATATAGAAAACGCACTGAAAAGGATTGCAGACAGATGGCAAATGCGAACTCTGTCACAGAACAATTCTGCTTGAGAATATGCCTGACATTTTTTTTCCCTCTGGAACAGGATCTCACTCTGTCACCCAGTCTGGAGTGTAGTAGTATGGTAATAGGTCAC